GTTCTACACTTAAAATATCATTTTGCTGACCGGGCATGACAGCTAATGGACAGTATTAAGCAAGATTCATTAAAAAAAAAAAAAAAAGAATACTACCCTCCCACCCACCCAATTATAACTAACATGCTAGTTAAAAACAACATCCCTTACCCACCACCCACCCTCTCACCTGCATTGAGTTTAGGGGAAAAGAATGGGGGGAAAGAAGGAAAGAAACCATACCACCCTAAAAACAAGAACACCCCAGAAACGTGAAAAATCTTCCTCTGAAGAAAAACTACACAGACTGCTAGAAACATAAAGTACTATTCCAGAGCTGGTTATTTAAAGAAAGTAAACACTTTGCTACACACGTTAACATTCAGTCAGTGTGCTCCGAGATAGAGCCTTAAGAAAAATACTACCTGAGCTTGTAAGTTAATACAATCATTAAAAGGAGGTCTAAGACCGTGTGGATACACAAAACTTTTAGAACCATTACTGGTTAAATGATGGATGGAAAACATCCCACCAGGCTGGCTTGTTAACCCGTAAGATCAGTTTTAAAAATAGACATCACTGAGGTACTGCTTCACCATGACATTTTTCACCCAATCCGCAATCATTACAGTGGTCTCAGGACCCTCTCTTCCAACGAGAACAAAAAATATCTAGGGGAGCAAGACAGGTGGAGAGGCAATACAGTATACCATGGTAATGTGCTTCAGCTTCATCAAGTATTTAATTAAAAACAACAACAACAACAAAGGAAAGAACAACCCGTCAACATGTTACCTTTGGTAGAAAAAAAATTAAACACAACACAAAAGAGCACTGCACCTCACCAGTCCCTGCTCAGTGAAGCAGTGCTTGTTGCAATGTCATGGTGACTAACATCCTGCTGGGTCCAGAAAAGGTACAATTACAATCACAAAGTCTAAAGGATTCTTACTCCCTTCAAATACTTGATGTTTCCAACAACTAGACCCTTAGAATTGCTCCTAAAAGGGTAGATTTGCAGACATTCAAAATATAGATAAAATATTTTTCTCTTGAAGAGAAAAAGAGACCTAAAGGTCTTTATTTGCAGGTAAGTCCTCAAATAGGTCAGATGAACCAGTAGTTTCATTAATACTGAACAAGGTAGTGGTGTGCATAATTCCTAGTTGCGGGGGGTGGGGGGGCAGATTGGTTAAGTAATACTTGGGATTTAGGATGACATTTGCCTGAGTACAGGAATATTTGGTTTCAAAGTCAATCAAATGTTTCCCCTGGGAGAAGTCAGTTCTGGATTTATAAAAACATTTTCTTCCACTCCCACCCACTCTCCTGTGGATTAATACTATGCTTTTCAGAGACCCATGAGATGCTAACATGAGGTAGATGACTTTCACCAAAAGTGAGGTAGAAACTAAACAAAAGCAAACGGTGTGGTGTGGAACTGCGGTGCGTGTCCTGAGCCCCTGGCCTGCAGGAAGCCAGAGTGGGAGAGAGCCCCAGGAGGGCCTGGCTCTAGGATATCATCACAGGCGAGTAAGTTCAAGAGTTTGACTTTATACAGCCCCAGACTGTTGGAAAATCAGTGAGTGGTATTTTGAATAAATACCCTACATACTTTTTTGGCACCACTGGATTTTTGTTTTTAAACAGAAAAACAAGCCTATAACTTTGGCATATCTCTATCTACCAGAACACAGCAATTGTAGAATCTTCCAAAGAGGAAGACAACACATACATAAACAGTATTCTGCTGCTTCAAGCCTAAAAAGACTTCCCTCCTCAAATTATTAAGCTTTGGCTTAACTAGAATAAAACAGACTGAGCCAATCTCAAGCCATTCTCTTATAGCTCCATCACAAAGTGCCTGACATCTGGCAACTTTTTTGGCCCCAACACACAATTTAGATTCTGTTTATGGTACCCCCTGTAGGTGTTTCCCCAAATAAGTTAGACTTAAAAGGGCATCCATCCATCAAAGATTAGTACACTTGGGTCCTGCCTGGGCCACTGGGCTCCAGCCAACTCATGTGCCACCTACCAGCCACCGTAGAGCAGAGGTTTCTGAGACAGCATTCCTTCTTGGGACCAAATTTACAGAGAAATGATTTTTTCTTTTTTTAAAGATTAACACTTTGGAAATGTTAACTCTGTCAACCAAAAGTGGTTTGCACCTACGGGTTAGTTAGATCTCCTTGAGCCATCTCAATACGCAAACTTACATATCCAAATCCAGTTGGCATCTCCAAACACAAACTGACCTTCTACCCCGCGCCACCCTGCCACCTGACCAGATCGGACACACGTGGGGATTATTGTCTGAATACCACATTTACTTAACAGAAACAATTTATACTCCTCCCTCGCAGTACCCACAACCTTATCTTTTCACCGTGTTCAAGACCCTCCTCGTCCACCCAATCCTTACCTACCCTAGCACCACCTAAGAGGCAGGAGATACCCAGTTAAAATCCCCAATTTTGAACAGCCTCACTCACACCGGAGTTCCGAATGTTGGCTTTCCTCCTCTTTCTTTGATTTGGAGCCTTCTACATCGTACAATAAACACACTCCGAAGTGCTTCGCACCAATCCCTGTGGGTCAGGAGTCAATCACGGGCAGCCACAGATGGCCAGTGTTTTAAAAACAAAAGCTTCCCAAGTGTGACCATGTTTCTCAAATGGCAGTGGTGTACAGTTTTGGGTGCAGAAAGGTGGGGAGATGTACCACCACAGAGGGCAGAGAGGCCGCATCACGCACCTACACGCTCATTTCAGGGGAGGACCTACTAGCTTTGAGCCTGCAAACTGGTCAGTCTATTAATTAAGACCTGATCATTTCAGTCAAGTGTGGAAACCCTGGCCTTACAACCAAATCCACAGAGAAATGCTAACTACACAGTTTTACGTTACCACTATTCAGCAAGAAAAAATCTCTCACTCAGGTCCCACAATTCCCCCACATACAGGGACATTGGGAAGGACCGATCAGCGTGAAGACGGGAGAATCAAAGGTAGTGACTACCTGAAGTAACTCATCCCAGGTTTCTGAGAACACTTCTAAGAATTTTCAAGATCCGTTTCTTCAATAAAATTTTGTAAGCATTTAAAACCAGTTGTCTTTGGTGTTTAAAGGATGGTTTGTTGGGTGGTTGGGGGGTGAGGAGGGGAGGAAGACCAGCACCAAGTTATTTCCAAAATAAAAAACAATAAAAATGTTTAATTACACAAACTCTTTTACCAAAGAACTTAGAACCCAGAGGCAAATAAAAGGCAACTGAACAGGAACTGGGGAAGGATTCAAAATTAAAGGCTTCAATAAAAGAAAAGGCGGGTTTACAAAACAAGATTTCCTGACGCCTCCTTGCCCTGAAACAGAGCAGCTGGGAGGCAGCCGTCTGGTGCGACTTTCCAATTTCTGGATCCTTTACTGCATGCGGTTCTCCTTTATGAAGTGAGTTTTTTCCCATTTTGGTCATTCAGAAACCCTGGAACTAAAGCAATGGGGAGGACACAGGGTACCCTGAAGTGGTAAATGTCCAAAAGAGCTGAACGAGAAAACCAATTTGACTGACTTGCTACACCACCCCCATCAACTCCACTCCTTTTCTTTTGGGATGACAAAAACAAATTGCTCCATGTGTCACTTCATTCGGTTCATTTAAAACTACATCTCTACTGCAAGGGGAGTTTCTCTGAAATACAGGAACAGAAACTGACGTTAGTCTTTCTGTTTGAACAAAAGGTTTCCCTGGAAGCAAGCCCCCGCCGTCTGAGAGCACCTTGGGCTCCTGAGGTGTGCTACTCCGGAATGTGGTTCTTCCTCAGTACTTTGGAGAATGTAGAAACCCATATAGGTTCTCACAAGCAGGATATTAGCTATGCACACTTTCCACGTGAAAGACAGATAATGTCCAGAAGCACAAGGCTCTGTACCCAAGTCCAGCTTACTACAAACCAACCCTGTAAAGTGACGGATGCCATCCCACAGTTCTGCAGCAGGAGCCTGGCTAAATTTTCATTCTTTGGTACCGAGACAGAGGTGTAACAAAAAATATTACAGCCTACATTTTGGGTTGGGGCAATTTGGTTTACAAATCTTTTACATTCAAAGGCCTTTGGGGAGAAAATACATGTTAACCATGAGGTCCTACTGCACGTCTCAGGAGCAGACCACTCCATAGAAGTGACCCGAGCAGAGGATGTAGGGATGGGCTGTTCCTAGTCATTTGACTGTCAAACATTCTATTTCCCTGAACTTCCAAAGCAGGTAAAAATTGTGCTTTCAAAGGAAAAGTTCAGAAAAAAACACCTAGCATTATTAACAGAACAACATTCAAGCAGAGGTCAGGGACTGACCTCTGCCCTCCCGCAGAGTTTGGGGGTAGCCTGTTGCTTTCTTATGCTCTCTATGGACCACCTCGGCACACGCCCGCCTGCCCGCCCACACTCAGGTCCACAGGCCGGCAGGTCTGACACCCTCTGAGAATGAGGCTGATTTTCTTCTTCCATCCACTGAACTTTATAACCAATAACAAACTAAAAATACTTAACTTTTGAGAATACTTTTAACTGAAAATCCTAAGCTACAACTATTTTTTAGAAACCAAAGTGTGAAAAGAAAAGTTTCTTTGGGTGGTGGTGTATGATCTTCAGCTTTACTATTTTGGTATAAGATGGCTCAGACACACACACACACACTACACATACACACCCCATCCCTTAAAAGAAGCAAAGATTACATACCCTAAAACATGAATAGAATAGTCTGCTTTTCCTGGCTAGCAAGCCACAGCCACATCCACATCTTCTAAGAATAAGAAAAGATGCTGAACAGGATGATAAACACACTGAGGTATTAAAGGAGAACACAGAAAAGTTCTCTGTTGCAGCATTGGGGGAAAAAAAAAAAAAGATTTCCTAAAAAGATCAAGATCACAACACAATCTAATCCCATAAACACAGTATTCTCCAGAACACAAATACTCTATAATTCAGCATTTTAAATCTTATTTTTCCACATTTTATAGTTTTTCTTTTTTTTTTTTACTTAGTAGTTCTTTCATGTTTCCTTGGCTCAATCTACAGAATACACCCCACCACCCACCCAGTCCCCCCCCCCAGCCACAGAGACGCCAGGCTTGTGCATATCACGCCCCACAAAGGGTCAGAGGGGAACGTGAAGTCCACTGAGTGAGGGTGGGGAGGAGGGCAGAGGGCCTGCTGGAGAAGGAAATGTAAAGATTTATGAGGTAGATAGAAATTATCACGTCACAGGCTCAATCCCTGCAGAAAAGATAAGTACATTCATCTGTAAAAAAATAAAGATGAGGTAGGACTTAAGCAATGTTGTACTCTTCTTGTTCTCTTTAAACAAAAGAAAAAAAGAAATTTCCCTGAGACTGTTTCTTCTTTGAAATTCAAAAGGAGAGAGAGAGAGAGAGAGAGAGAGACGCACGCACAGCCCAAACACGGAAGCCTAGAGAATGGGATTAGAAGATGAGGATCCGATTGTTGCCAAAGTCCACCACCACGATCATCCCGTCGGGGGTGACAGCGATGCCAGAGGGGCGGTCCATCTGCCCAAAGCCACTGCCTTGGGCACCAAACTTGCACAGGAAGCTGCCGTTGGACTCGAACATCTGCACCCGGTGGTTCCTGGAATCGGCCACAATGATGCGCCCCTCCTGGTCCACAGCCACACCCTGTGGGCGCAGGAACTGCCCATTGCCAGTGCCCTCGGAGCCCAGGAAGCGTGCAGACTGGCAGTCGGGGTGGATGACCAGGAGCCGATGGTTGTTGAAGTCGGTGACCACCAAGTGGCCCTCGTGGTTGAAGGCCACACCCCGGGGGGAGTCAAAGTGCTTCCAGAGAGCCCCCTCGAAGCCGTACTTATTCAGAAAGATGCCGTCGGGCCCGAACAGCTGGATCCGGTGGTTGCGGGTGTCAGAGACCAGGATCTTGCCCTCAGAGTTCACCGCCACGTCCCAAGGGTAGTTGAACTGCCCGTTTTTGGTTCCCTTCTCACCAAACTTGAGCAGGAACTGGCCCTCGAACGTGAAGACCTGGATGCGATGATTGTCCTTGTCGGCCACCACGATCCTGCGGGAGGCATCGCAGGCCACACCGGCTGGCCGGTCAAACTGTCCGGGTCGGGAGCCCAGGGTGCCGAATTTGTGGTGGAAGGCGCCACACGGCTTGAACACCTGGATGCGGTTGTTGCTGCGGTCGGCCACGACGATGTAGCCCTCCTTGTCCACACTCACGCCCCAGGGGCGGCAGAGCTTGCCATCGCTGTCGCCCTCGCTGCCGAAGCTCAGGCCCGGGAGCCCGATGCCCACGTAGCTGCGGCCGGACTTGACCACCACCTTGAAGGGGCTGTTCTCGATGTGCTGGTTGCACATGGTGACCGACACCAGGTGCTCACCCTCCAGCTGCGGCCGGTAGCTCACCACGTAAGTCCCGTTCTGCTGGTCGCTTACCTCGGCACCAAACAGATTGCCATCGGGGCCCAGGACCACAGCTGACATCAGGTCGCCCCCTGAGAGGCGAGGCTCCCCATCGTGGTCGTAGCCAATAACGGTGAAGGAGGCCACCTTACCCTGGAGGGCCCTCTTGAGGCCATCGCCCGTGGCCTTGGTGAGCGGTGCAAAGGCCCCGCTGCTGACAAAGCCGAAGGACTTGATGGCGAGGTACAGGGCCTGGTCGGGGGGTGTGAACATGACGCGGTCGTCTTCCTGGGGCTGCAGGAAGCTGCGCACGGTCTTCAGCTCCTGCACCTGGGCCAGCATGCGGTCCCGGGCCAGCAGGACGTCCAGCGCCCGGCCCTCCTCCAGGACCTGCTGGACAGCACTGATGGTGCTCTCAAGCTTGTTGAGGCTCTGCCGCAGCTTCTCCACCTGCAGGTACAGGGACTTGGCTTTCACCTGGCGGATCTTCTCTACCTGGAGAGGTGAGAGCAGGGAGAGGACGGAGGCTTTGAAGCAAGCAAAAAAAAAGTAACTGACAATGGACGAGACTGCCCTTGCTCAGAGGAAACAAACACAGAAGCGTTCGGGGGTAAAGAGGCATCCTGTCTCCAACACACCAATCACATACAGAGTAGGGTGAAAATGGGGCAAAATGTAAATAATCAGTACATCTGGGCGAAGGACAGAGGGAGTTCTTTTACTATTCCTGTCACTTAGAAATAAAATATAAAAGCTAAGCACAGCCATATAACAAATGTTTACTGAGCACCTGCTTTGTGCCAGGCCCTGGAGGTGCGTAATGACAGGTCGAGAACGTGGCCCTCACCAGCAGCACTTCCCAGGGGCCTAGAGCACAAGGCCGGTCTTACACTCCTGAAGGGCTGAATTTTCAGCATAGCTATAGAGCCTGCAATCTCTTCAGTGATTCCTGCTCCATTCTACCGTCCCTGCCTTGCCCCACTCTCCACTCTGAGAGAGAGAGAGAGAGAGAGAGAGAGAGAGAGAGGAGGGAAAGAAGACAGTGTGTGGAAAGAGTGAAGGGATTTGTTGAGAACCTAATTCAAGATTACAACCTGTACCCCCCCTGGCCTGCCACACATCCCATAGTCCTCTTCGTGGTTTTTTGTCTTCACAGGGAGCCTGAAAGGCCACACACCCCCCAAATTTGGAAACAGTAAGTCCTTGGAAACCACTGGCCTCTAGTATTTCCAGAGGAGCCCTCTCAATCTAAATTGTTGTAATACAGAAACCTGAATTCTGACCTGAGTAATTCTGCCTCTGAGGTTCTGAAACCCACGATTTGGGAATGTGGGATTGTGTGTGACCAATGAAACAGAGCGACTTATCCATTCTTGTGCATTAAATCAGTCAAAGACCACCAATTCGAAGTGATTTCCCCTGTGAAGGGGAGAAATGAGTCATCTAGCTGATTCGTGCCATCATGTAGAGAGAACCAGGACTGCTGAGGGCTCTACTAATCAGAACGCTACAGAAAGTCTATTTCAGAATAAGCCTCCACTGTTGGGGAGGCCTGGATTTCAGTCAGATTTTCCCTTGGGAAGGGGGGTGATGATGTGATTTTTGACCCATTCATACTTTTCCATCTGTCCACTCTGGAAGCAAGACACATATGTGTAGAGGGGCCCATGTGGGGACAGATCAAAGAGAAGCTTTGTCCTTTGGTTTTTGCACTGGGCCAAACCTCTGGGCTTTGGTCTGGATTCCTCAACTAGGTGGTTGCAGCTAATCCCACGAGGTCACCAAGTCCACTGGAAATCTGTAAGCCACAAGCATGAAGAAGTGCATCTAGATACCCAAAACTGGGTCACCCGGCACTCAAACATCTTCTTCAGTAATGGGGAGTGCAAGAAAAAAGATGTGTAACAAGGACATGGCCGGGCAGAAGACAGGTAGGAAAGCTTTGCTGGGAGGGACAGAAAAGTCAGTAATTTTATAAAAGAGAGTGGGAGTCCCACACGATTTAGGGTGAGGTACCATAATAAAAAGTAAAGACAAATGGGACTGAGGTATGTCCAGAATGAGCGTGCATATTTTGGAGGTTATCTGAGAACGAGTTTTTAGAAATGTAGAAACAAAGTATATTACACAGAGAGACTGACTGTTCCTCCAAATTTGCTTCTCCAAGACTAAAAACTTGCTTCCCATACCTCCTGAAAGAGAACTGCCTTTAGGGAGAGGACAGGAGTTGGCCTCACAGGAGGGAGGGTACCTAAGGTGAGATCTGCAGAAACTCCTTTGCACAAAGGCCTTTTCATCAGCAAATCCAGAAGAGCAAGTTTGTGGCAGAGTTCACCAGGGAGCTCTCAGGTTGCACAAAGTGGGCCCCTTTCAGTTATAATTAACATTCGTGGGTGGCATGAGTCTAGCAGACCACGGGGGCATGTGAGTGTCTGGAAACCATGTCAGGCCCGCAAAGGTGCCTGCATAAAATACATGCTGAATTAAATCTTAAAGAATTTTTCTAGCCAAGGACCGTTCTCTTCTTGTCAAAAGGTAACTGAGCCATATTCCTCGAGAGGTCAGCAAAGGCAGAAAGCAGTTAGTTACGTGCTAAATAAATGGAAAATGCAAAGCAAAACCCAACACAGCCTTCCAGAACATTTTAGAGCATAGTGATTGGTGAGGATCACTTTCAGAAATAAGAGACCTCATCTCTACCTTCGCATAGTTTAGATGATTAAAAGGAGCATGCACACACCTAAGTGCACCCTTTTTAATGAGCTATGTGTATGACCATACACATTAAGAGAATGTCATTTTGGAGATGAATTGACTTGAGGTACTGGCCCATTCACAGGCATATTCTCCCCTCTTCCTGGGGCAGGGGGTAAAGACCAGAGAAGAAAATGTTGGGATGAGGACTTGAGTGGGGAAAGTCATCTTTCCAGCTGATTTCTCTAAACAGCACACCAGCCTGCTCAGCACTCTTTCCTGCTGCAACAGAAGAAAGGGCATTCGCTCGCTGCCCTCCCTAGTGGTTTTTCACAAGGGGGCAGGAAGTGCAACCAGGCAGGACACCAAAAAATAAGGATACTTCCCAGCAGCCGGCTTTCGTAACAACAGTCTCGACTGCGCCCCCTTCTGTCTCCCTGAGTGTGCACAACATAAAATGTGAGGCTCCTTCCAGTCCTGGGTACCTGACTCCTCCTGAGAAGACTTCTTGTGGCTTTAGTGCTCAGATGGCACCCAGTGTTACAGGGAGCCCTGCATCTTCCTGCCAACACACTTCATGGAAAACCTCCAACTGTTCTCCACTCCGAGCCGGGATCTGGGATCTGACCTGAGAATCCTCGTGGTTTTGCTGCAGTTCACTGGAAAACTGCTGGCCGGCCAAGGAGGCCCGGGGTGGGGGTGGGCAGCACTCCTTACCTTCCACAGCAGCTCGCACTCCCGCTCCTCCAGGGCCTTCTTATGCCTCGCCGTCACGGCTTTGACCTCCGACTGTACCACCTTTGCCTTCATCTCTACCTGCTCTGCCACCGTCTGGGCCTGCTCGATGCTCAGCTGGAAAAGCAAGAGCAAGCTCATGGCGTTAGAAGGACCTCCACTCCTCAAGCGAAACATTTAAGTCTGCTTGTCGCAAACCCGAAGAGCTACCCCCTTGGGCTCCCGAGACCACTTGATCCACTTCCCTGGAAAGAAAGCAGGCACGCAAGGGGAGCACGGCACCTGTCTGACATAGCCAAAGGGGCCGTGCCAAGCGCTGGGTTCCTTCCTATGGGAAACGGCACTGACACGTGGGTCAACGTCAGCACTCTTAAGAGCTACTCCAACACAATGAAACCAGTGTAGTTGGGTTGGGTCCAAGCTGAAACGCGGGAGCGAGGACCAGACTGGCACACGAACCAGCTCCCACAGACTTCCTGGCCTTCCTGGCCACGTGGGGACACCCGGCAGGCGAGCACAGCACTCAGGTCAAGGTGCGTCATCGCTGCAAGCCAGCAGGTAGCCATCATGTTCCTATCATGTCACCAGCAGCACAGTTCATTCCAACCCTCAGGGACACTGGGGATACTGTCTGATCTGCCACAGAAACCACGCACACGTGCCCTGTGGTCAGTCCGCTTGCCGGACCATCCCTGCACCACCACACACCCTACTCTGTACCACCAGCCCTCGGTAAATCAGCCAGTTTAATCAGGCGTATTATTGTTCATAAAAAATTAATCAAGACAGAAGGCCCAGTGTTTTCATCAATATTACATGATGTGTCTTGAAAAGCCACAAGGATTTCTTTGAGATACTGAAGTATTAAATCAGGGATTCCCAACTGCCGACGGTGCAACAGGTCTAAGGATGTTATTATGTCCCACATCAGGAGGGGCCTAGAGAAGCGCACAGGGTTTGGAGCCCGGTCTGAGCTTAGGAATCGCTCACAGGTGACCAACCGTGAGTGTGCCCTGGAGTGAGGGTTTCCAGCATGTGGACCACATCTACAGCTGAGGCCATCTTGGGAAAAGCAGGCTGGAGAGTCATTCTACGAGTCGGCCAACCCAGCTTCAAACCCTAGCTCCACGTCCTACTATTTGCAAGGCCCCAGACAAGTGCCTGGCCTTCTGCAACCTCGGCCAATAGGGGGAAAAGACAGGATAATACATGGAAGGAGCTCAGCACAGCAGCTCACAGAGTAAAACATCACCAACAGTGCTCAGCTGAGAAACCCTTGCAGTAAGACCACAGGCATCCTTTCCCTTCATCCCACCTAGCTCCTGTCATGCAGGTACAGTCATGTACCTAGGCCTACGCACACTTCCTGACCCATTTGGCTTTTTAAATTGTGGTAAAATAGGTAGAACATAAAATGTACCATTATTGACATTTAGCACATTCCATATTGTCTAAGCATCACAACCACCTAGCTCCGAACACTACCATCGTCGAAAGGAAGCTTCCATACATACCCATTAGGCAGTCCTTCTCCATCTCCCCACCAACTCCCCCATGGCAACCATAATCTGCTTGGTCTCTACACTTCTGTCTATTCTGGACAGTTCACAGAAATGGAATGAAACAATACATGAGCAGACTTATTTGTACGAGTATGATTTCATTCAACAGTTGTGACTCATTTTGTCACTTACAGCTGGGGACCCCCCCTTAATCCTCTCAGTCTACAAGACACGCCAATGGCACGAAAGTCACACACACATTGCAGCTGCCCCCAAACCACCCATGGCTGCCGTGGCTAACTGCTCTTGGCATTCTTTGCCCCAATCCCTGTGAGGCCTCAAGATCAGAGGTGGCACTTGGGCTGATCGAGAATGCTCATGGACTATCCATGGCCTGGAATGCTTTCTCTTCCAAATTCACCCTAAATTTCAAAAACCCAAATCAGATGCCACTATCTTCCTGAAACTGGCAGTGAAGGACACCTTCCCATGTTTCTGTTCCACCTTTACTACCCTGTCCCAAGTGTCATTACATAGCACACTACGTGGGGGTTAGGTACATAGCCCATGATACTTCGCCACTGGGTTGTAGCAGGAACAATCTCTATATTTACACTTGCTAACGTCTACGGCCATAACCATATTCATCAAAGCAGTAGGTAACTATAGTGGGTTAAATATTGTCTCCCCCACATTCAGGCTGATTAGTTAAGAGGAGGTCATCCTGGACTAGAGAAGAGTCCTAAATCCAGTGACTGAAAATCACTTAAGGCCATGTGAAGACAGGCATGCAGAAAGAAGACCACATGAAAGCAGAGGCAGAAATTAGGAGTGATGTAAGTGTAACAAACTGAGGAAAACCAAGGATTGCTGGCAACTACCAGAAGCTTGGAAAAAGAAGGGCAAGATTCTTCCCTACAGCCTTCAGAGAGCACAGCCTGGCTGACACCTTTATTTTTGGGCTTCCAGCCCCCAGAACTATGTGAGAATAAATTCCTATTAAGTCACCAGTTTATAGTAATCTGTTATAGCAGCCCTAGGAAAGAGCAGCCAACAAATTGAAGCAGATGGAACTACTGAAATTACCAAAAGATAAAAAAAATTAGACTGACCCATCAGTAAAAGCATATAAGCAGGTCTCATGATGGACTTGGCAGATTCCAAACGTCTCAGGTGGTAGGGGTTGATTTAGAAGATGGGAAATCTCGCTAGATATTTAAACAGAGATAACTGAACGTAGAAAATGGGGTTGAACAGTTAGTGGAGAACTGCCAGGGCAAAGGGCACACAGAGGATGACAGACCGTGCCTGCAGGCGGCAGCGACGACCCTTGGGCCAGGAGAACCAAGAGAGTAGGGAGGAGAGTAGGGGTTATAGGTAGGGACTGTGCCCACCTCATTCTGGAAGTGGCCGAAGCTGGGAACTGGAGCTAACCCTCTGCTGCTGGGTGACAAACTGCTGCTGCTAAGAACAGAAAGTCAAACGGAAGAAGGAAGTCCCCTTTGCCAACGTCCGGATTTGTGGTTGGAAGTGCTGTGACCCAGCACCACACGGCAAGCGGGTGAAAGGGTCGGTCACGATGGAGAGAACTTAGTAACCCACACATCCCATCTTCAGATGTGTCGGCATTAATGAGCACCAGCTCATCAATGAGTCAATACGCGACCAAGGCAACGCAGCCTTTGTCCGTTTATTTCTTAGCTTCCTCAATGGAAAGCAGAGGTGGCAAAATGCTTTCTATTTACACCAATGCCATATTACTTACCCAACTGATTCTCCATAAAAAACAGAAGAAATGAAAGTAACAGGCCTACATTCCTACAGGGCAAGAACTGGCAGGAGAGCACAGTGACCACCCCCACCCCCTCTGTGTAGCAAGTGGGTTTACATAGCAAATGTCTGTCTACTCACCTCTCCCCCTACTGTCTCCTAGCAGGCCTGCTCCCTCGATGTTTCCTGCCAGGTCTCTAGCAGGCCCTTAGGACTGGAATTCCCGTTCTAGGACAAGAACTGTTTCTTCCATTTTTCAATCAGGTAGAAGGGGTACAAAGCCCTTACTGTAATTTGAGGGATCCCCAAGTGTGCAAGGATAGGATCATTCTTAGGGTTGAGAGTCATAAAAGCCCTATGTGTAGAGACAAGAAATAGAGCTTTCTTTTCCGAATCATACACAGTCCCGTCAAGCACTGCATTCCAAGATGCGCAGACCAGGACCTGCCAAACTAGTTCCCATTATCTAAACAGGGCATTTGAAGGAAACGAGAGGCAGGTGGGGTGGGGAAACAACAGTAGGTAAAAGGGCTGAATAAAACAGAAAACAGAAACATTCAATTTGCAGTAAGGACGGATAATAAAAAATTATCCAATAAGCATGGGGCTTGAGGGGAAGAAAGTTATCTTTTAGATGTTAACAGATCCAATCAAACATCTGAAAACTGAGGGTCTCAATCTGGGCAGGCCAATCAGTGCATGCCAGCTGAGTGCTGAGTACTGGCCACTCAGTACAGGGGAGGTGGAGGCCACCTGGGTTTCATAGGAAAGAGCACAGAGATTACTCATGTCTGCAGGTGGGGACGGGGCGGCCAGCTGACCGCTACTGAAAGTGCTCTGATGGGGGTGCCTAGGTGGTTCAGTCACTTAAGCTTCTGACTTCAGCTCAGGGTCCCAGATGGAGCCCTACATCCGGCAAACCACTCAGTGGTAAGTCTGCTTGTCCCTCTCCCTCTGCTGCTCCCCCTGCTTGTGTGCATGCGTGCGTGTGCTCTCTCTCTCGTCAAATGAACTGGGAAAAAAAAATCTTAAAAAAAGGAAAAGAAAAGTGTCCTGATAGGCAGAAGATGACAGAATGCAAATGTCACCCATAAACTCACAGACCACAAAACCAGATATGGGAACTACTGTAGTTCACTCTAAAATGTAATTTTATCACATGTAATACCTTTGAAACTATGATTCATCTTAAAACTGTCAATGGGCTTCTTCCTTTGTTAGGTGTATATAAAATAAATGTGCATATTACAATGAATGGTGTCTTAAGTGTGATTGAAATAATCAAGGTTCTCTTTATGCGGAGAGCAACTATATCCTTAATCTTGATTATGGGTATCTCCCCCATCCCAGGGGATCAGTGCACCTTATGAAAACCTCTAATTACAAAAGTGGCCAAAATGTTATACTTCCAGGAAGACTGGTCACCCTTAAAACACTGATGAGATACACTACAGACATCTCTCAGGCTTCCTTTGTTGTCGGTAACTCTAGACCCTCATCATAGTAAATTCTTTTTACAGGACTAAATAGAATTAATTGGGAGAATTTACTTCTGGATGTTTTTTTCTAGAACTAAGACTCTCAAGCTAAATATAGACAAGTAGTCAGTCTCTCAGAGTTATAACTTAGGAACTGTGGTTCACAGTCAACTGTACATCTGACACTTGTAATTTAATAATGGATAAACATCCCTGGCTGAAGAAAGGGAATGGAGCTCCTACAAGTTTTTTCTAAACAAAAGCTGGTAAAAGTCCCAAGTTGTACTGAGTTCAGATATATTGTAAAAGGTCACTGATACTGATTAAAGGTGGTATAAAATTGGTAAGAACTTAAATCTCCCTGCAG